GATATCTTTGTTGACTATATTGTCTTATAATTGTGAAAACAGTTGCACTCAATACATATTCACACATGTGACTGATTATACATGAGCAATAAACTCAATTTATGAGGTTAATTTATGAGGATAAGGTTCAGAGGATAATTCACTGAGTAGATTGTGGTTTGCAGATTAAATGGTCTGAAATTTTCTGACATAAGTCAATGTGAGGTTACTTGCAATTCCTAGAGCGTGGTACCCTCTTATTAGGACCTTACCTTCTCCCCCGTGGGGATGTGCAGCCCCTCCATCACCTTGGCAAAGGAGCCCTTGTTGATCATTTTGCCTACTAGGTAATTCCCAACTTGTTTGGAGTGAGGGAAAGTCTTCCCAGTCTCCTGGGGCATCTTGTTAAAACAAGCAGGTATTTTTAAATTCTTTAAGTTTTTCTCCCATTCTGGTAATATCCCATCCAAGTTGCCAGTATTTGTCCTTTTGTTGTCCAAGCCTGCTTTCATGGCTGTGGGCATCCCTGGAGAGTCAGATTTGTATTGCTGCTTTCCAGATGTAGCTTCTGATTCGCAGCAGATCCAGGCATTAAGTCTGTACATCTTGTGGTGCAAGTGCCATCCTGCTGATCACAGAGCAACTAATCCTTTCCCTCCAAGACCCTGTGTTTGTCACTGATCTCTAGCCTGAGCACACAGATCTGCTCAAGCAGAACCAAGTGGTAGATTATTAACCTAACCTGATACGTGATGTCAGTTAATGCCCCAGAGCTGCCGAGGCAGATGACACATAATCCCAGCATTAGCCTGGAATATACAGCTCCCTTCCTCCTACAATAGTTCCTTAAACACATGCTCAGTGCAAGTTCCACCAAAGTAAACTGAGACACAGTTACCCTGGAGTGTGTGTTGCTGGCATGCAAGGGCATACATTTATTCTAAAAACACCATGGGAGCATGAATGCAAAGCTGAGTTAGGTTCCTGATGCTGTGCAAGCATTTACAGATTTGCTGTGTACAGCATGTAAATACCTCTATGCTCCTCTAGCACATTCAAGTCCCAGGGCCCTGGCCTGATTCCAGGTCTCACAGAAGTATCTTGTGTTTTCTGGGACATGATTCCTGCTCTGTAAAATGTAGCAGTGGGAGCAGCATGTGTGTGTGTTTTCCTCCTTACGGCAATGACTGATAAAAAGAAGACAATAGGTTTTGCTTTGTTTTGTTTTTTCTGCAGCTGTTGTCTCTCTATATCTGTCTTCGTTACCCAGCTTCTTTCCAAAGTCATGGAGAAATAAAAAAGCCTTTTCTGAGAGTGCTTTCACATACCTGCAATTTGAGCTGGGAGTTGCCATCTCTCTCCACTGACCTACAACAAAATCTTAGGGACCCAAAGCCCTTCCCAGAACTTAGTGTGATGACAAATCCTTTTTCCATGCTTCCTCAGTTGGAGCTGAACAATAAGCGACGTCCTGCTTGCCTGATTTGACTTGTGAAGCTCACGAAGGGCAAAAATTTGCCAGGATGAGTGAAAATGAGAAGGAAATGGATTTACTGTACACTTTACAGTTCAAACTCTTGTGGGCAAGTTCAGTGCATCACCATCTGCGTGCAGCTGCTTGCAGGCACATGGCAACCCCTTGCCTTTTTGTGTCTAAGTAAAAGATTTAGTCCCACTAAGCTGAGCAGTTTTTCTCTTCATAACATACTCAGTTGTCATGCTTTGAGCTATATCAAGTTGCCCAGCTGGAATGGGACTTTGCTAACTTAAGTAGCTCTTTTCTATTCCCTACAGAAAGCCAGAAACAAAGGGGACATAGTTTTCTGAGGAAAGAACAAGGACATTCTCCTTCATTTGTGCTTACTATATGCTCTGCCTCCCTCCCATCTTCCTAACCCACTGTTCATGGACTTTCTCACTACAAACAAGAAAATAAAAGTGAGGGGAACCACTGTATGGAACAGAAACCCTGTATTTCTGGCACATTTCAGAAGGAAGGAAAAAACCTCTTTAAAAATATAACAAACATTTAAAACATGATAGCTAGCTAAGTTAACTATTGCTGTTTTTGGAGAAAGTCCCAGCCTGACACCTTGAAAAATGTTGAAGTCAAAAAGCTTCCAAATACTTTTCAAAGTCATTTTTTTGGCACAGTGAGGATTAAAGAAAAGTCGGGCAGGGCAGAAGGAACAAAAAGAGAGTCCATCTCTGTGTTAGCAAGTCCACAGCTACTGATCACAAGTTAAGTGAAGCTGAAATTCTGGATCAGAAGGGAACTGTCTGCCAGTGCTAGTAGTGTCACTGCTCTGTGTCAAGCGATGTGCTCATTGTAGTGTGAAAAAAATGTGAGAAGAGATGAAATAAATCAGTTCTGTGATGAAAGACGTGTACCACTAAAGAATAATCTCCAGCAAGGAGGAAGGGTTAGCATCATAAAAGGAATGACCACCTTAATAGCATCAAAACACAAACAGCCCTCCTCCCCAAACAAGCCTTGTGATGTATTTTTACGACTTTGCCTTCATTTGAGGGGTGGGGTGAGAGGGGAGGCAGTTCTGCTTCTTGAGAATTAAAAAAACCCAACCCAACAAAATAACAGGTCTGTAAAAGGTATACAGTTTTCCCAACAGCAACTTAAAAAAAAACAGCTTTCTTATATAAAATGTGAATTAATTTCATGTTTGAGAATACAAATTTTGCTTTATCACTCCAGATTCTTAGTATTCTTCTAGGGGACCTGAAATAAGGAGTGTTTCTCACAATATCTGTGCTGCTGATCCAGCAAATGAGGCCGTGTGTGTGCGGGAGTTAACTTTATGTGAAGGTCAGGCTAGTTAAACAGCCTCATTATGTTCAGCAGAAATAAAACAGCACGAGCAGGAATTTGTCACTTCGCAGCCACCATCTTGGATTTCCTCCTGAGAAGCAAAATCCTGCCTGTAGCTCTTCTTATCTCACATTAGTGATGAGGCAACGTGATCCTGGTTTCTGGTTTTTGCCACTGTGGGATGAAGCCTTGGCTTGTTGAAAGGCTGGGTTTTACTTCTTGGACTGGTTCATTTTGAAGTCCTAGTTTATACTCTTGTGAATACTGCGAGTTTTGTAAGATCTAGTGTGAGGTTTTTCAAAAGGGCCAAAAAGTCAGATTCTTTGAGCTGTGAAGTCCCTCTGATTTGACTCAAGGGTTCCCTCAAGCCTGGATTTCTGGGGTTCCAGAGCGTGTGCCCTACCTAAAGGTGTGCTTTCCACAGGCATTGAGGGCATGCTGACCTGTTGGGGGCTGTGTGGCTGTGAAGGAGCAATGCTGCACTGCGCTGGAAGACAAGGTTGCTTAGTCAGGAGGCAGCATCCCACTGGAGACAGGTCTTGTTAGTAGGGAAGCAGCATCCTGCTCTCAGGACAAAAGTCAGCATCTCATCCTGGATCAACATTGCCACAGGGATGTATGTACTGGCTTGCACAGAACTACTGCAAACACTCTTTTCCAAGAGTGGTGCTTTAACACACACATATTCTTAGGTGCTTTGGCAACTGTCCTCACCCCCTTGACTTTTGACTTCCACGCTAACCACTGCCATTTGCTGCTTGAGGTACTAATGGTCCTGGCTTAGGTCCTGAGCTTGGCCCACTTTGGACGCCTTGAAGGTTGTGAACAGTTCATATTTCCATGTGGCTTATGTTACCTGGGTGTAGGACAAGGGATCAGCAGCTCCTTCTAAGACCAAACACTTTTCATGTTTCATGCTGAGAAGTGAGACTTCCCTTTTCAGATTAAGGGAATCCAAGATGGTGGCATCTAAATGTGGTGACTGGGGCAAATAAAGGAAAAAAAACAAAACTGGTTTGAAGACATGGTAGGAGGAATTTCATCTATATAGCAACCTCACAGTCTGTATTGTAATAACTCTCAGATCCTGGAACCACTTCAGTCTGCGTTTTATAATGTACCTAAGACATGCCCTTATTGCACTGTAACACCTGCCATATTGTAAGTTATTTCTGACTCCTCATAGGCTTTTTGGCAGCTGTGGAGTTTACTTTAGAAGTTACTGCATGTGCAAGTTCAGCAACTTTTCTGCAGGATTTACTTACTGTCACGTGTTAAGGGGTTAAGAAGGCAGGCACCCAAGGGCGGGCCAGATTCTACTCCCAGAATGGTGTAAATCATGGATAACTCTCTTACAAGAGTCAAAGGACTTCCTTAGTCAAAGAAGTGACTGTTCTTCACCACCAAAAGACCAGTGGAATCAGAAACAGATGGGTTGTTATTTTCTTGGTATCGATCTGGTCCAGCACACACACAAGTGAATGGGAATATTTCTTTTTCCTCCATAAGCAGTAGAATTGGGCTGTTAAAGCTCAAAAGACTGTTCTTTAGAATATATGTTAAATTTTAAATCTTTTAAGTGCATTTTCAAGATGTCACCTTTGAACGCATTTTACCCACACAATCCATACCACTACTAATGTTTTACCTGATTATTTAGGCTAGCTGTTAAATTAAAATACAGATTAATAGGTTTACTTTGCAGATAGTCTTTGTCTTTCTGCCATGCAATATATGCTTATTAGATCTGCAAAAAAAATTCTCATGCATATGGATATTTATTTTATTATTATTTTCCATTTCCAGGAAAGAAATCTTGCACCTTTTATTAATTGTCCATGAACACTGATTCATGGTATATTTCACATGGAGGATTTATGTCAGATCTGTATTTCCTCCAAATGAGGATCTCTCTTTCTCAGACATGTTGGCAACTTTGGTCCAGTAAGCCTTACTTGACTCCTTGAGGTAGCCTTTACAGTTTCATTCACATTTCAGTGTTGTGTTCTGGTTCTTGAATGCGCAGAAGAACATGAAAACAAATAAAAAATATCCATATTGGGTCAGTCTTTGAGTGGAACCAAAGCCAGATACCTGGAGTCAAGCATGTCAGGTGTAGCCTGTGTGATACCTCTCAATAATATACCCCAGCTCCAACTGCTTGCCACTCCTGGGCTTCATAAGCCAAAGTTGGCTTCTGTGGGTTCCATAAATCTACACTGTTTACAGCAATATCTTTCAAATCCTACAGATACCCATAGCTTTTATCTTGAAACCAAGCACATTCTTAAATGTTATGCTATGATGAGCTGTACTAGTCCTTCATGTTTGTGGGAACCAGATACAGGAATGGCAGAAGTGTATCTCAGTAACCTAATTCTAGTTTGGCTTGAAGAAAACAGTGATGGGGAGAAGCAACAGTCATTTCCAAATCATATTTGGCATCTATCACCAAAAGTGCCCCTGGATAATCTTTACATTTGTCTTCTGGAAACTGAAGTCAGACATTCTGCTCTTTTCACACAGGTATGAAGAACTTATAGTAATAGGGGTGAGGTGGATTCAGATTTCTGATAAAAGTGCAGAGTTTCAAAGATTTTGCTGAAAATTGATTATTTTTCTGTTATATCAATTTGAGCCCTTTTCTGTTTAAAAATTGCTCTAGAAGCCAAGATAACACTTTCAGCTTCCCCAAACCATTAGCATCTAGTGCATGTTGTAAAGAGCTGGCTTTGATGTTTTGGTTTTTTTTGCAACGGGGACAAGATATTCAGCAAG